CTGATATAATCAGACATCTCCCATAGTATTGGAGAGTGGGTCCATTATTCTGAAAATACGCTTTTGAACACCTTGAATGCCCTTTTCAGCTCTTCTATCTAAATCGGCATTCAATTTGTCCAAACTTGGATAGAAATACTCGTCTTTCTATTTACATTGAAAATATGGATCGTCGGGGATCTGAGCTTGCTTTTTTTAGAATATTCCTTTCAACAATTTCGTCTTTCACGAACGTTCAGAATTTTGTGTTGGCATATTTCAGACGTTCTTTTGAAAATATCGCCTTACCTGCTGAACTACTTGCAGTAGGGCTGACAGGTTCATATGTCGTAATGGCGGATATCGTCTCGAAACAAAAACTTCTGTTTTTTCTCGAATAAGCGTCTGTATCACTTTCACTGTCTGATTCACTGCTACTTGAATCGGAGCTATCAGACGAGCTTTCCTACGAGCTTTCCGACGAACTGTCTGAGGAATTGATAACTCGTTCCCTTTTTCTACCTTGGAACTTGTAGGGGGCGCGGCCGATCAACTACGTATTTGGATCATCATCTTGGACGCTATTGTCCGATAAGTCTTTAATGCTATTAGCTGCGTGTGAACACGATCAGCCATTAAGCAACAGTTTTTTTGGCAAATAAACAAGTGAATGTAGTGTTTAAAAATTTAACAGTGATTTAAAAAGTTACCTTGAATACGTTGAATATGAAGCGTATCCCGAAAGTTGATGATGCAGCAAGCGACCTAAGTTGGAGAATGAAATCAAATCTTTGGAAATTGAAAGATTTTTGTCTGATTTTTATAAAAAAAAAAACGTCTTGGTATTATATTTGAAATAGCTCACCGCGATATAGCCTTTATGTGCTGATGCGGCATAAAGCAATCACCAATTCGCCTATAGACACATATATCTGTATGTTTCAATTACATTACATTATAGCTTTAGTTTTTCTGTGAAATTAAAAAATGTTTACAAAACATGTAAAGCTTCCAATGCAATTTAATAATATGCCTGCTTTTAGTCGATTTATTTTGTCGTCTTGCCATGTAAAGAATTATATGTAGTAAGACAATTCTTTATGTCAATATACATATTTAGTAAGACAATTCTTTATATCAATATACATATTTAGTAAATATGTATATTGATATAAAGCATGTAATTCTTTACATGGCAAGACGACAAAATAAATCGACTAAATATTATTTACACATGCAATTACCATCTTTTCATTCTGGAATCAAGGGCCTTTTTAAATCACATACTTTACTATGATACTAGTATTTAGATTTAAAAAACATAAAACTTACTTAAATAACTCCGTTTTACAAACACTTGTGATACAATTAATCAGCCAAAATAAACTATCAAAAGAACAAAAATTTTCTTATTCGTGGCCTCAAACGCAAATACGGTACAGATGTATTTATCAACAAAAACTAAAACACATATATATGGGAAACAGCTCGCCTAGACGAGTGCAGCAAAGTGTCATTTTTGTTATACAATTGTCCTCAATCACTTTGCAAACACACTAAGCCGCTGCAGCACACATGTCTTACAAACATATCTACAAAGAAAAATAAAGAAAAAGAATTCGTTCATATGACAAAACAAAATTTACATAATTTTCATTCAAGATCTTCAGAAAAAACGTTATGCGTTTACAATAATTTGAAAATAATACAAAAAGTTTAACATGGGATAGGAGGGACTTTAAAAATTTTAAAAAGTGGGACAATCGGGAATAAACCAAAATTACTTATTGTTTTTACCTGTAATTAATTAATAATTGTTATAACAACATATATTGTATTTTGTTTGTAGGCAAAGGTTTAAGACACCGTGTGCGTATACTAAGTCTTTACCACCTGTTTATATAGTTTGTACACCTATATTTTCGGAGATAGGTTCAGGTTGGGGTGGTATGTTGTACTGTCAACACATCATATTGCGAGTCCTTTGTGTTTCTCCTTTAATAAAAACACAACAAAGTTCTTATAAGGCTGCCCCAAGGGTGTCTGGGGAATAGAAGTATGGTCACCATTGGTCTTCCTCCGACCGGCAGTAAAACCCTTGCTGAAGTGGGGCGTCTGTTTGGCTGTGCGGGATGTACAAATTTGCAGCCACGTCCGGTCAGAATGGGGACGTTAAATCCGATGCCTCGTGTAAAGAGAGTGCCACGCTCTTTGCACGTTAAGAACCCTTGCAACAACTCTTTGAGGGGTCCGTAGGTGACCTGTTGCAAGGCTAAATTTCTGTCCCTATCCAATATACCCTCATTTCCCGTGGCAGTCTAAATTTCTCCGACCTTAATCCCTTAATCTATTACAGAACCTACCTATTGTATTTATTGTGAACTTGTTCTCGTCCTGAATATGCATGAAATATTTGCCACTGGACGTTAAGCAACCAACAATCAATCAATCTTATTAGGCACTCCCAAAACATTTTTCTAAATGTGACTTCAGCATTTTGTTCTTGCGTCAAAATTTTTAGCTCTGTAACTTTCGATTAGTCTTATAGGGGTCGAAATGAACAATCACAAATTTTATCCAAAGGGAAGTTGTTAATATACACGAATTGTTCATTGACTTTGCTATAAGTACTATACTATAGTGTAAGTTTCAAGTCATGTAAAAAATGGGAAATTTTTAAACATTAAAAATTAAACATTACATCTAAATATCGAAAATCCCTCAAATTTGCTGGAAATGTTCTGTACGGGTATCCTGACATACCTTCAAAATCTTTGAACGATTGGTCAACTTCAAAAGAAGATCTGTAAGTTTGATTTGTTCTTAACGGAACAAACACTCAGTATAAAAACATCAATAAGTGTTTAAGATGTCTTCTTAAAAAGCAAATTTAATATCTATTGAAAACTTAACATTACTTTAATTGTACGCACGAGCTATCCTCATATTATCAAATAGGATAGAGCCTGTGCGGGATGTATCAAGTACGCAGCCACGTCCGGTCAGAATGGGGACGTTAAATCCGATGCCTCGCCAAGCTCTTTGCACGTTAAGAACTCTCGTAGGTGGCTTGTTGAAATGCCACATTTCTGTCCCTATCCAATATACCCTTATTTTCCGGTGGCAGTCCAAGTTTCCCCGACCTTTTTTGTAAGACCTACGTATTGTATTTGTTGTTAACTCATCGTGAATATGCATAAATATTTGCCACTGGACGTTAAGCAATCAACAATCAATCAACTAATTTCGATTTATTTAACTTTATAAAATGTAAAAAAAAAATTGTTTTCATATGACACTAGAAAATTTACATTTAAACAACTTTTCGCCCCTAGGATGACTGTGGAATAGAAATATATTCACTATTGGTCTTCTTCGGACCGGCAATAAAACCTTGCCAAAGTGTGGTGTCCGTTTGGCTGTGCAGGATGTACAAGTATGCAGCCACGTCCAGTCAGAATGGGGACGTAGAATATCATGTCTCGTGTAGAGAGTGTCACACTTTCTGCACGTTAAGAACCTATGTAACAACTCTTTGAGGGGTCCGTAGGTGGCCTGCTGCAAAGCTAAATTTCTGTTCCTATCCAATATTTCATCATTTTGCAGTGGCAATCTAACTTTCCCCGACCTTCATCCCGGACGGCCTTTCTAACAGGACCCAACTATTGTATTTAATAATAATGTGTTCTCTTCCTGAATATGCATGAAATAGTTGCCACTGGACTTTTATCAACCAACAATCAATCAATCATTCAATCAGTTGTGACCTATATATGGTATGACTACCAAGTTGGAATATATAATATTGTCAAATATCTCCGATGTTAAAATTGATGTACTATTTCGTATCTTTTGATCTATTTGACGCATTAAGTATTTGTATTATTGATAAGATTATTTACGGCCTAGAAACATCTGCTATGACATCAGAATTTACAGATAACCTTTATTTACACCGGAAATAAAATTAAACATGTTTACTATTATACTATTACCATTGTATTTATTACAGACAATAACAGGTATGTGATTTTGACTTATTCAATTTCGAAAACCAATTTCAAAATGCCGTGATTATTTAATGCACCATTCAAATTTGTGGGAAATCGTCAAAGAATATCTGGGCAGGTGTGGATACGCATAGAACAAAACAAACTTTTGAATGGTTTTACACTAGTAATTTTTGGGGCCCTTTATAGCTTACTGTTCGGTGTGAACCAAAGCTCCGTGTTGAAGACCGTACTTTGACCTATAATGGTTTACTTTTATAAATTTTGACTTGGTTGGAGAGTTGTCTCATTGGCACTCATACCACATCTTCTTATATCTATTTACATTATCCAGAATTTGATTTCTTTTTGTATGGTATCAATTATAAACGGACAGGTGATTATGCCGGACGAAACACATTTGCTTCTTGATTAGTGATATTCTCGGACTCTTGCAGTCCACATGTACAAGAAATGAAAATACAAAATAAAAATACAGAAATCATTTTAATGCAAGTACCAAAAGTTAAATATTCATCGTTTAATTTTATATTTTTTAAACCTGAAACTTTAGCATAATATCATAAGCAATTATAGAAACAAGTTAGTAATTGAACATTTGATTTTACAAGTATCTTTTACAAAACTGGGGACCTCAAGGAAAACATTGGAATGGAACTATGGTTAATTAACTTCCGTTTTTCCGGCTGTAGGACTCTTTTGAGGGATTGTCAGTTGTCTGTAAAAATGACTGAATACATAACTAACGTACGTCAAAATATTGAGCCAAATCACATTCGCCTTCTAACATTTGCGTTCCTTTGGAGAAAACACATTTCAGAACCGACGCAACAGAAACTATGTGGAGGTCTTATTTTTCACATCCAGGCCCGTAACGGATATCGCCTTTGACAAACATACCGATTGATTTATGAATTAGATTGTTGAATTCCTATATATACTATGTCTCACAGCTCAGTTTGGTGGACCCAGTCTGTTTGGACAGCAGGTTCAAGTAAATCGAACCTCTGGACTTCCATGTTCTAAAACAGTATCATGTATGCCAGCGCCATGGTGCCAACGGACAGTAGACTCAGATGGCTGCCCGAAATGTTCCTGCTCTATGGGTGAGTTCGAATAATAGTCAGCACTCAAACTGCTAAAGTTTTGTGATTATTTTGTTTATTTGTGTACACATTTACCGCCATGGTTTGATGGCATATTATAAAACAGAGACAAAAGATACCAAAGGGATATCCAAACTCATAAATCGAAAAAAAAATGACAATGCCATGGCAAAAGAAAAACGAAAAATGACTAAAAAAAACACACACAGCAGTGCAAAAACACAACATAGAAAACTAAAGATTGAGCAACACGAACCCCAACTAATAACCGGGGTTGATCGCAGGTGCTCTGAAGGGTAAGCAGATCCTACTCTACGTGTGGCACCCGTCGTGTTGCTCATGTAAGTAACAAAATGATAAAATTTGATAGTAAAGATCGTCCGTTATGTATGAGATATTTGCAAATGGACGTTTTATAAACAGCAATCAGTCAATTAAGTGAACAGGAAAGATTATTGAAGGAATGCTCATCAAATAAATTTTGTACGCCAGACGCCGAGTTTCACCTATACAATATACTCATCAATGACGCTCGAATCAAGAAAATAAAAAAGCAACAATATATAAGGGAACGACCATTTAACTTCAAAGGGGGGGGGGGGGGTATTGTTATTTTACTAAAACAATATTTCTGATCCCAAATTTGATCTGGTCAAGCAGATGGCAAAAAAAAATATTCTGAATCCAGATTTTCCTCATACCTTATAGGGTTAAATATTGAAAAAATAATTTGATTGATAGCGTTGAAAAACTAAATAAAATTGATCGCGCTGTGCGTAAAAAAAGAATTTCTGACTTAGACAAAACCCCACCCCCCCCCCCCCCGAAGTTAAATGGTTCCTCCCTAATATAAGCTTTAAAATTAACACTTGAAGCGACGCTAAGGACTGTTCTGGTCTTGCTATTAAGTTTTGAGTTATGTCCTGTTTTTTTTTATATCACTGTAAACAAATTGTGTAGATTAATTATATGATGGCAGAGTTAACAATTCTATAATCTTATGTTGCTTTCATACGGCATATGTTGTTTTCATACGAGATGAAAACATATGACAGAGTTACATATGGTTCGTCTTTCTGCTAATAACGATCAGAATGGAATTGAATACCGACTGTAAATATATAAGGTTAATTCATGGTTTTGTTAATCCCGGCATTTGATGTACATGTAACTTGCTCTAAAGAGATCTAGTGCCATAATTTATTATGAAAAGTCGCTATGTATCAATATTATTTACTTGATTAATTAATTTACAAAAGTATCTTTTCGTACGTTCTATGTATTTATATTTCGTTCACGGTATTGCTATTTTAGAGTTAAGTCAAATACAAATCTGATTAAAATACAAATCCTGTGTTTAAGCGTTGCTCACAAGGATCTGACAAATGTGCTGGTAATTATTACACTAGCCAATCAAATTACTGCCTTCAAATTTCGAAGGTGTGTAATTATCTGATTAAACCAGAGGATCCCAAAAGGTTTTTTAAACAGGAAGTAGAATGAAGCGTTTTCTGATCATTGTAAGCAAAGCTTTGACGCAGGATCTGTATTTGAATTAGATTGGTTAAAAAAGTTCATGTTTTTTCAGGTAGATTTTCCGGTGGACTCGCAGGTAAAGGTGGTACTCTCGGGTTGTCGAGTTCAAGGAATAGATTCCCAGGAATGTCGTCAATGTTGGGCTCGGGGATGCATGGCTCCCCAGGAATGTCGTCAATGTCTGGCTCGGGGATGAAAGGCTTTCCAGGAATGTCGCCAATGTTTGGCTCAGGGATGAATGGCTTTCCCGGTTTTCCTAGCTTTAATGGAAAAGGCAAATATAAACCTTCGAATAAGCTTTGCTTGGCTTGGGTTGTTGCTTACAATTACACCAATATACATGCTCATTATGCTTAATTATGCTTTGCATTCGTCAGTTTTAGATTTTAGGACCAGACTGCAACCAGTGAACAATTGCCAACACACAGTTGCAATGTCTGACCCGTATACGTAAAAATAATTTAATTTTTAAAATTATTGAGTAAAATTGAAATGTCGGAAAGAAACAATGTCAAAGATATTACTTAGTAACAAGTGAACCTTATTTTATTTTTTTGTCATGTTAATTCAAGAACTCGTATACAGAGCAGTATTCAATATTTTATTCATAAATATGGGTAGAAACATAATGTACACTTTACTTAATATAAATTTTACGTCTTATTTGATATGTTAACCAAAACATTGAGATGAATCCGTGATTCTTAGTCAAGGTTGTCTTCGTTGTATCAGATGAAGTTTACAGATAGAGAATAGTGGTCCCAAACCAGAAAGAATAGAGAAATGGACAAAAAATAGAGAAAACATAGAGAAAAATGGACAAAACATAAAAAATAATAGATAGAGAGTATAACATAAAAATAAAAAATAGAGAAATGAAACCCACCGCAACCAAATGTCATATGTTAGTCACCATATGGTGACAATATTAATATGGAGGTCATCTAATAATCGATTTATCGGTTGCAATTGCATGCTTTTTATGATCGAAACGTTTTGTATTTACCAGCAAAATTCTCTGATTTTTTATTCAGCCTTTAAATTGATATATCAAAATAATGTTAAAATGTTGACAACTGCTTTTTTTTTAAGGTCAATCTTCATTTATGAATCCAATGGCTTCCATGCTTCATCAAATGGGTGGAAGTGGCGGTTTCAACAGCTTGACAGGACCATCCGGAATAGGTACGGGTGCATTACCAAACTCTAACCAACCAGTCCCAACAACAAAGACAGCATGTGACAGCGCCCCCTACACGTGCTCGCTGCCTCCACCATGGTGTCAAAGGGTCGTCAATTCTGACGGTTGTGTTGTTTGTTATTGTGGACAAGGTAAGTTTCGCGAATGTATTTTATTTCTGTCGACTTTTATTACAACGAAATGTGGAAAGTATCCTTTTTTTATTTTAGTATTTTCTTAAGTGTCACTTGTGTCCAAGGCTACATTTTTTTGTACCTATTGGACCAAATATTAGATGTAGAAACATCAGTTCATGGCACTTGCTTTCTAAGATATACATCCCAACTATTGGACTAGTATTAGTTTGGTTTTTTTTTTTGTAATGAGTATTTACAAATCAACTCCATATGTCTTTCCTATAATTGACCCACTTGACGGGAAATATGTTTATATAACAAAGCGTTTTTCATCAGGAAGGAACATTCATTCAGTGTGGGCGCCACTTGATCTTTAAGATTGGGAGACCTTTTTTCACTTTGTCAGTCAGTCTGTTCATCCTCAAAATTCTGTCAGCACCATTTCTTCTACAGTATGGTAAAGGTGCAATGAAATTGTTTACCATCACAACATGGAGGTGTACTTATTTAATTATATTTTGGATATTTTTTATTCAATCATGCATGGTTTATATGACTCGTCATAAACTAAGGAAATTGTTAGCTCTTATATGAACTTTGTTTCTTTAGTTGCTTTGAAACTTAATGAAATGTTATACAGTTTATCATTTCGGGGCTTTTTTAGCATAATTTTTGTTTTGCTCGTTGTTAAATGCCGTATGGTGAACTATAGTTGCTACCTTCTACGTCATTTGATCTCGAGTGGGGAGTTGTCTCATTGGCAATCATATCACACCTTATTTTAAATAACCAAATACAGCGGTTTTCGATCAATTAAGAATTAGTTTCTCCATAGTTATTAGACTAATAAAAATTTTCAAACAGTCGGACAGTTAACATTTTATCATTGCGTGTATAATATGCGCACGCTCTCATCAAGAACTTAGGGGTTCTCCTGAGGTACAACTAAAGTGTAATTCTGGTAAGATTTAATCTTCAGCACACCCCTAACTAACATATCAGTTTAACATTGATTACTGTCAAATCTCTGAACTTAACAGTTGGTGTGTAGCTCGGAACATAACAGTTGATGTATATCTCGGAACATAACAATTGGTGTAAAACTCTAGCTAACCAAAATTAATTGGAAATGCTTTTATCTTCTACATTTATCGCTTTATCTAATGCTCAGAAGTTTGAAAACTACATTGTAGAATTACAGCAACATTTTGAAAATATACAGACGGGAAAGAACAACCAATCAACGCCAAGTGAATCAAACATAACGGGAAAACCAACGCTCAAAACATTACAGGAAGTATTAACTACGACTGTGCCAACACAAGCCACAACGACTTCCTGTTTACAAAATTTCTTTTGTACCACAACATGTGATCATGGTTACATGACAGACACAAACGGATGTCCACTATGTCAGTGTATACAGCCTGGTAGTTCTGGCGTCGTAACTACGGATGACCCAGGTATTGTAATAGATTTATTACAGTATTTATTTATTTAGGAAGAAGAAAACAATTGAAAATGACACTTTAGAAGATGAAAGGAGAAGGTGTATACCAAATGAACTTGTACTCAGACATAATGCTTTAGAGTTTAAAACACTGTTTAATTCCAACAAACCAAAAGCATTCGGAGAGCTTTGCAATTTCTTACGATGTATCAACGGTAAAATAACTCCTTCTACACAATCATAATAATACATACATTTATACACTTAAACTATTTCTTTAAAAATATCTATTAACTTTATGTGTGTGTGTGTAAGTTACCTCTTATAATTTGCATGCATGTTTATTTAAATGTATGTTTATTTTTTTCTTATTTGTTCTTGCATGGTTTTATGAGAATAGACTATCTGTCTATCTAGCAGATATGACATCTGTTTTTAATTTACTCATAAAGTAGTGAGGTAAAATATTTCAGTTAACTTAGCTGCTTTCATCTTACTTTCAAATCTTAATTTATAACCATTTCGTTGACTTCTTGTGAGTTTTTGTAGACACACACCTCTTTTTATTCATAATGTAAGTTATATATGCATATGGTATTCATGTAGGCATTTGTCAGTAAGACAGCAATCTAACAATACTTCAAACCCGCCTCAATTTCAAGTAATGTCTTTTCCGTAAATCAAGCCATTAATAAATACATGTCTTTTTTTCAGTTACAAAGACTACTACAGTGTCACCAATTGTCACTTCCGGAAGTTCAGCTGGTACAATCATGTGTCCTGGTATATTTGACTGTACTCTAATGTGTATGTCAGGATACCAGATAGACTCACAAGGATGCCCTGTGTGTAAATGTCTTGATGGATCACAGACTTGAAATAAATCGTTTGTTTTGTTACTTTTAATATTTTATCATATGCATGAAAGGCATGGTCAAGTTTCCTTTAATTTAGTACACATCAGCTCATTTTCAATAAAATAAGAAGTGATATTTACGTTAGTGAGACAACAACCCAACGACAAAGATTCGCAAAAGACATCTTAAGGTCAAATAATAGTCCTCAACAACATACAATATTTCAAGCTCTAAATCATCCCGTGTCTATACTCTATATAAGTTGTTAATGAATTAAACAGAAGCAATCATAAATATGCCATTAAAACCAAAATCTCCAAAGGGACGAAAAGCATTAAGATATTGCATACGATATATGACAAAAGATAACTACTGAATGGGGTTTCTACTAGTATTTCAATCTATAGTAACATGTACTGCATTACAGCTTCATGTTCTTTGAGGTTGTAACAAAATAATGTTTATTAAAGATTTGACTGAATTTTCAATCCTAAATATTCCTCAATGCTACAGTTCTGATAAATTTGGAGTAACTATTTTAAAAAATAATTAAGAATGGCATCCACAACCACATTCAAATTCTACAGTAAGTAAGATGTCTATTTTGTCTATCAAATACAGACGTTTAGTTACTAATAAATCCGATGCCTCGTGTAGAGAGAGTGCCACGCTCTTTGCACGTTAATAACCCTTGTAATAACTCTTTGAGGGTCCGTAGGTGGCCCGTTGCAAGACAAAATTTCTGTCCCTACCAAATTTACCCTCATTTTTTAGTGGCAGTCTAAATGTCCCCGACCTTCATCCCGGACGGCATCTATTACAGAACCTACATATTATATGTATTGTTAAATTTGTTCTCGTCCTGAACATGCATGAAATATTTGCCATTGGACGTAGAGCAACCAACAATCAATCAATCAATCAATCCTAAACATTCCTCAGAAGGGCATCCCCAACCAAATTCAAATTTTACAGTAAGAAAGATGTCTATTTTATCTATCAAATACAAAATAAATTGTTGCTGCATGTTAACGGATATCATTTGATATTAAAGTGAACATTATACGTATAAAAGGTTCGAAAATATATTAAAGCAGGATCTGCTTACCCTCGGTTTTTGGTGGGGTTCGAGTTTCTCAGTTTTTAGTTTCCTATGTTGTGTTTTGTATACTGTTGTTTGCCTTTTGGTCTTTTTCTTTTTGTGCCATGACGATTTCAGTTTATTTTTGACTAATGAGTTTGAATGTCCCTTCGGTATCTTTCGCCTCTCTTTTTAAAAGTGTTAGCACTGAATTAGATTTAATTTTACGGTCATTTGCAAAATGGTTGTGAAGTCTTACAATATACTACTTAATATTTGAATTTGGGTAGGTTTAATCAATTTTCTTTTAGTGAAACAAATACTGGAAAGGTTGTCCATCAATCTATAATCCATATCCATATGCAGCTGAGTTCGTTAACTAGTTTTAGATGTTGAATTGAATCAAAGTTATCCCCCATTGACTGAAAATCTCAATTTTCCTATCTTATTTGAATTTCGTTTCAAAAACTCCGCCAACCAGATAAAAAAATACACATAAGCGTATAAATATCGGTATTTTGTGTCTTTTGTCATATTGGTAATCATACAACATCTTATTTATATATGATAAATTTTATGCATTTTTAAACATCATAACCGTTCTTGTTCGATGGTTTTATCTAACAAATCAAACATTTTTTTTATTTTGTACCAAATTAAGATAAAAGAAATAATTGGAAACAGTTATATTTCTATGGGTGCCAAGTCATACCGGCATCGAAAGAAACGCAGTTGTAGGTCATGAAGCAAAGAATGCCCAGAACGACCCAATATCTAAATATGAAATACCATATACTGATTTTAAATCTAATATACATTTGTAAGAGAATATGTTTTAAATATATGGAAAAATGCATGGAGTAAATCGAACGACAATACATTGCATGAAATTAAACCTAAATATATATGCAAACCTTTATACAAATTTATATGCAGGAAAGACCAGTGTGTTATTTCTAGATGCCGTATTGGTCATGCTAGAATAACACGCGAGTATCTTTTAAAAAAATGTCAACCAGAATGTATACCTTGCGATTGCAAGTATATAATTAAACATATTTAATTGAATGTATATCAGAAAAAAATGTATTATAATGTAAATAATATGTATGATTTATTTAATAATGTTCCTGTTGAAATAATTGTTTCATTTTTAAAGGAAATTGGAATATATTCCAAATTATTATACAAAATGTACTTCACGTTAAAATGCCAGATTTTGATTAACTAATACGAGATAGATAATTTACTCTATCCCATGGGTCAGCGGGAGACAATTTTTTTAATGTCTCTCTCTCGGGCAGACCAATCAAAATCGACAATTTAAAGGACAATGAGTTGAATTTACATTAACAGTTTTAAAGACAAAGCTCAAGATCTACGTTTTAGCCTCAGAACTTTTTCATAGACTGCCAAAATAAAAGATACATCTTGCTTTACTTTTGTTGTTTTTCTCATACGTACATTTGTGTAACTGTAACGGTGTTATGTGCATGACGTCATAGTTAATAACTTTCAATTTAAAAAAAACAATAATGGCAGAACATTCAGTATAATAAATTAAATAACACATATCTGAGAGGGTGACAGAGCAGATTGTTACTCCTCGAATAAACATTGTCAACCTTAGCTTCGCCTCGGTTGACAATGTTTTCTCGGGGTAACAATCTGCGCTATCACCCTGTCAGCTATGTGCTATTTATATACTACAAATATATTGTATAACTTAACGGTTAAAATGATTTTTAAAGTTTTATTACTTTATCTTATTTGTGAATTTTATATGTATATAGATATTTTCGCTTTAAACTAAAGTTTTAGTAAATTAAGACCTTTTGTTTGAATTTTAAAAACTGTCTTTTGTTTAAATATTTGAATTCGCTCTCGCCGCGATATAACCATTTTGTGCTGATGTGGCGTAAAGAAATCACTAATCAATCAATCATAATTGGAAACAAAAGGATACAGTGTATCAATTACTGAAACAAAACCATTACGCACAAATAGGGAAAAACAGTAGCAAAGGAACGTCGCTTTGATTGCTGTTCTTCATCTCAAAGTCACAGTGAGGCCTTCAGCATGGCTGCAAAAAATCTTAGCTCACTCCAAGTTTATGTCGGCCCCTGGCATCGTTGTGAGTTTATCAACATTTCCTTTTATTAGTTAACAATTTTACTGGCATGGGTTACCTCTTTATGATAAGACATATCCGTTGGGTTATCATCAATTAATAAAGTAGAAAAATAGAGGTGACAGATAACAAAGAGACATTCAAACTCATGTCGAAAATTAACTGACAAACGCCATGGCAAAAAAAGAGAAAAAGACCAAAAGACAAAGAACAATAAACAAAACACAACATAGAAAACTGAAGACTGAGCAACACAAATCCCACCAAAATCCGGGGGTGATCTCAGGTACTCCACATGTGGCATCATTGAAAACTATGATTTCTCTCCATTGAAAGTTTTGGGAAGCTTTTAAAAGGAATTTTTCGGTGTTTTTATTATGCTGGTAATTATTTTTACATCTTTCAATCCAATTAATTTTCAGAATAAAAGAATTATCGTACACCCACTTCTAGGTTTAAATGGTCTAGGATCAACCTCCCATGTTTTGCACTTGAGGCGAGCAGTCAATTTTCCAGGGGAGTTTGTTGTGTAGTAAAAGTGATGATTTTTTGTTGGATTAGTAAAGTTGTGATCGATCACCTAGAGAACGTTAAATTAAGTATTCCATTTGTCCAAATATGATTATTTTAATTATAAAAATAGGAATGTAATATGATTGGCAATAAGACAACGATTCACAAGCTAAAATCCCCAACATGCAAAATAGAACGGAATACAACTCAAGAACAGAGGCGCATTCTACTGCAGCCACACAGCACTATCAACACTGTGTCATTTTGCATGGCATCAACATTTAAATAGCAATACAACTGTCTTCCAATAGACCTTCAGACTTATAAATAGCAACCTCCAAAGTAGCGCGAGTATCTGAACTTCGACCTCTGTCAATAATACCTTTGTTAAGGGAGCGTCCATCTGGTTGTGTGGGATGTCTAAATACTAATTGACGTCAGGGCTGATACAGCACGATAAATGAACTATGTTGGGAGATTACCAGGCTGCCTAAACTCTTTTTCAAAATTCCACGCTCGCCTCCCTGAACGAGCTTGGAACATTCTACGTCCATTGCACGTTTAAAAACCAAAACATTTTCCAATTGTTTCAAAAGGTATTAAAAGAAATTATGTATTTTGCCAAACATCGAATACCAAATTTAATGGAAAAGAAGGGTTGTTGTGTACAACTTATCGACATAAACCTCACACTCTTAGTTGAAAGTTCAAAACCGCCCTAGCACCAGTTATTTGTGGAATTATTTGCTAGATTTCAATTACGCTGCACTGTCAGTTGGTACACATGTCTTTTGAAGAACGGGTATATTGTTGATATTCTTTTGAAGTTATTTATAAGTTTTCTAGTCTCGGGGGGGCTATTTAGACCTTGGAATGTTCATTGATGAAGACCGAATTTTGACCTCCTAATTTCTTTTTGTTTTTTGTGCTGTTTTACTGATATGTACTATACATCTCTTAGCATTCATAACTATTTAGCAACAAGAAGAACACAAACACCGGGTTGAATTATGGGCTCTGGAAGGGTGAGAAGTGCTGCTCCATTAGATGCACGAAGATATTTTTTTTGCTTTAAATGAAAGCGACATATTGTTGTCATGGAAATACGTAAACATCATGAAATGTGTATTACACAATGTAAGTATAGATTTGAATGTTTCGGTTTTATCTCATCACAGCCTGAATATTCAGGAATAAATACTACAACAGGTATCAGACGTTTCGTTCATGACCCATTGTCTCGTATGCATGACCTTACAATGGGTGTTCCGAGTGACCTGTTTGTTTATAACAGTATTTGAATTATGCTATCAAAGA